GAGTTTTATGATGCGTTCAAGAGCCCTTTGGAGGAGCGGAAACACGGACTCTTTAACAGTTACTTTGTTTTGATTGTTTATAAATGTTGTACTGTGTTTAGGCAAAACAAAACAAACTCCAGGAACAAATCAGGGTTAACTAGTCTGATTTCGTTAGTTTAATATTCAGTTCACAACTAATTGAGAATACTTGTCCTATGTTAAAAATATTAAGTTAAAACAGAGTTAAAACCTGATCATGTTTAGTAAATGCAGTTAGCAATTATGTTCCCAAATTCATTACTAAATTTAATTACTAAAATTTATTGTTTAAAAGTGTGCTAAAACCAGATCTACTGATCAGTGATGTCTCCTCTTTTTGATAAAAGCTAAGATAAAGTAATATGATTCAAATGTAGTTAAAAACTTTTGTTCAAAATAAATATATAAAAATAGACTTTACTTTTGTAAAGTAAATGTCATTTGCTAGTACAATAAACCTATACATTATAAATCACTATATAGTAATGCAAAACTGTTTAGAAAAAGGTCTTCAACAAACAGTTTACTGACATGAGCAGGTTAAAAATATAGATTATTTAATTTGGGAGTATATTATTTCATATAAATTAGTACTTTCATTTACTAGCAGGAACATTATTTGTTTACAAGTGGCATTTAAAAAACAGTTTAGTTACATAGAAAATGTATGTTTCTGTTCTCTTTTAGAGGTTTTTTATATGATTTTAAGCTGTAAATAAGCCATGACAGAAAATCTCCCTCCTCTGGACCCTGATTACCCGGCCGGAATCTTTCCGTACTGTAGTCTCCTCAAACCTGCATATTTCCCTGGAGTCTCCACTTCACTAAGACTGTGTTGATTTCATTCATTCAGCTGTGATTTGCACTGATAGACAATAATTAATGCATTTAATTGAACTTGATCAAATCTGCATTTATTTGTGTTTCATGCAAAATATCGGTGTATTTGGCCCGCGGCCGACTGGCAAATTTTTACTTTGGCCCTTGGAAGCAAAAGGTTTGGGCACCCCTGCTCTAAACATACATTGTCTCTTAAAAAAATCTATTTTATAGGACAAGAAAGGAAAAGGTTGGAGGTACGCTTATTCATACAAATGTGAATGCAGCTCATGAAATGTGTGTTTCATGAAGTTGGTTTTGTTATGTCATTTCTGGTCTTTGGGACAAATTGTGTTATTGTCCGCTCTATTTCTACAGTTTCAGCAACGTCATACCAGCGGTGCCTGGCAGTTGTTTTGTCTGTATGATCAAATTTGAGGAAAAAATTAAATCATGCAAAAACTCCTGTTAGTGTAGCAGGCTTTAGGGTATGCAAATGATCCTCTCGTCTACCGTTTTGACCCTCTTTCTCCTTTGCTAATAATGATTTTTTTCTTTGTTGTCGCCAGGTTTAAATGAATGCAGGCACTGACCTCTGATCTGGAGTGTATGATTAACACTGACTTGTGGAGCTTCTACCTGGAGGATTGTCTGGTAATTGGGTTTGGAGCCGAGATGACTGGAACGAATGATCAAGAGGGCCAAAGCTAAATGAGGTCAGGCTGCAGCAACAAATGTAGCTTTATTATTTAATGCTGTCATGAATCAATCAAATGTTTGATTTAATACAGGTATTTGTTTAGATATTTTTTGCAGAGATTTACAGCATGTCCAGTATGGGAGAAAAAATTGGAGGGAACTCAAACTGTAAGAAAAGACAAACTAACAAAGCCATGGATTTACTCTTTGGTTCATGAACATACACAACATTGTGTCCAACGCACCAAAATAATATTGAGGAATTTGACAATGGGAGCCAACAAAAGTGGGCTGTGGTAGAAGTACACAAACACTAAATTATGAGTAAAATATTTGCATACTAATTATTTCTAAATCTTCAAAAGTACTATTCAATCAAAATCAGAAAAATTACACAAGATGGTGCTTTGTGGCAGCATCTGGCTCTGTCTCATGTCCACCCGGTCTGCCTAATAAATCCTACTGTCAAATTTTTGTTTTTAGATGAAGGAAAGTAAGATAAATAGGCTTGCTTCCTCTCAGTAATACTAATACAATTCTTTTTTCGCTCATACTTAATTACCTTAAGATTTGTTTTACGTGTATAACATGTTCATCAATTTACCCAATAAAATTTGAATTAGAGAAACTTTCGCATGAAATCTTCAAGATAACTTTCAAACATTGGAGCTTTCACAAGCAAATGTCCACGTTTTTGAAATTGCACTGTTCTCAGCTCTTAACTGGTGACATGTAAAAATCAGAAGTAGTTTTGACTCAAACTGTAAAATACCATAAACAGCATTCATAAGTATTGTGCTGTCAGAATGGGATGTGTGATCATTTGTTCTCCAGTTTTCTGGCCTGAATGCAGATGCAATATGAAAGTAAAGAAGGGAGAATCTCTGGAATCTTAAAATGTTATATTCCACTGCATTTCTCAGCACGTTCTTCAGGTCTCTGCCAACGTGCTCTATGTCAGGTGAATTACCACAAAACGCTGTGGGGTCAATAGTGCAATACTTCTTGTGTGATTTGTGAGATTGTCATGGGGCAAAACGCCGGGGTATCTGCAGACATCATTATATTGATCTACACCCTGCACACGTGTCATCAAAATGATCGACGACAACTCGAAAACAAAGAATCGGTCTAATCAAGGCTAAACAACCACAAGGAGAGAGCGAGAGAGTTGTCTTCCAGAGCTATTCATAATTCAACTGCACCCAATCCATCTAAATGCAAGTACGACAAGCTGCATGATTTATACAGTCTCACGATGAAGCAGATATTAGCCCGGACAGAGCCACCTTACGGGATCTTTCACAACACGCTAGATTTACTTCCTTCCGACGACGTGAATGCAAAGTGAACAGTTTGGCTCGGTAAAAGCGGTGTGCCAGCGGAAGTGTGGCTGCATGTGCTGACACAGGGGGATGAAAACTTGGACACAAAACGCTGTCGCACTGATGGGGGGTCATGTCCATATGATCGATACTGAAACAAATTAGTCAACACAAGCCCTCGGTGGTGATGGTGTTAATTAGAAGCCAATTAGAGGAGAACAAGAAGTCACACAGCATGAAACATAGAGGTGAGTACAAGCAATGACGATACAGTATATATCAAATTCAAATATAACTGTTGACATAGAAATCTTTCATATTCCCTCCACAGTCGGCTGTCATCATTTATTTTAGATCTACTTGTGCCTTGAACCTGTGCGCAGTCTCAACCTTCTCGCCTACTCCTCGGCTGAAGGTGGGAGAAGCGGCTTTCTCCTGTTAACTCCTTGTAAATGAGACGCTCTGCCTAATGATATGAAATGTGCTGCACCCTGAGCTCATTGTAGACTGTAGAGTAAACTTTAGACTGACTCACACCAGCCATCTTTCAATTGTTTTATTGCCGCTGTGTGGATCTGCAGTCCTGGTGCAATTTAGTCCAGCAACAAATTTCTGATTCCGTAAATAATGTATTTTGTGTGCATGTGTCTGTGTGTTTGTGACTGAATGTGTGCTGTTTGCGTATCCCTGTTGGTGGGAATGTCTTAATGTTAGATCCCTGTTTTAAATAGGGCTGTCGTAAAATATAATGTAAGATGTGTAAAATGTGCACTTTATTGTCCCCGTAGGGAAATTTGTCCTCTGCATTTGACCCATCCTGATGCCGCTAAGGCCCTGTCCACACGTAGCCGGGTATCTGCTAAACCGGAGATATTTTTCTTCGTTTGCACCTGTCATCCACATGAAAACGCATCATGAAAGAATATATTAAAAAACTCCGGGCAAAGTGAAGATTTTTGAAAACTCTGTTTATGCAGTTGCGTGGAGTAGTATGTTTTCTCGTGTCACAATATGCCCCAAAACAACAACAAAGGAAGCATGGATCTTACTGCCGTGAAAACTGTGGTTCCCTCCGGATCAAGCTGCGGCGCAGCAGCGGTGGGGACAGCGCATGGATCTATAATAGGTACAGGGGCTAGATGCATCAAACACAAGTGGTCACGGGAGCTTACGCTCGAAAACAACCAAAACAGAAGATAAACCAGGATTAAACCATGGTCCCCCTGAGGATGGGGGATACAGTGCTTCTAAACATATGTCTTCATCCTGAGTTTCTACTGTGACTGTAAAAGTGCAGCTACCAGCGTTAGCATCAAAGCTCCGCCCACTTCTGTGTTTTTCCCCAACGCAGGACAAGACGTCACAGGACGCACATGTTTGGAATGTAATGAATGTGATTGAAAACGCAGATGTTCGGTTATGAATGGATGAGGTTTTTTCTCAAAAACGGAGTAATGTGGATACAAATTATTTTATGAACAGAGGGGTGGAAATATTTGGTTTTAAAAATACCCGGCTACGTGTGGACATGGCCTAAGGCTTCCGTTAGGAGCAGTGGTTGTCGTAGTACAACGCCCGGGTACCCATCTCCAGATGTTGGTACTTGGTTTTGTCAGGACAACCGGAGCTGGAGGATGTTACCTATTGTGCATGTTATTAGAGCACAATAGGTAACCAGAGCACACAGAGGAAACCTCCACAGACACAGGGATAACATGCATACTCCACTCAGTAAGACCCTGTTCCAACCAGGAGGGTTCTATCCACTCAGCCACCGCCTGTCTATTTTATTATTTCTGTGTAACGTGTTGTACTGTAGGGGCGAAAAGCTCAACCAGCGACAGGAGATGATGATTAGCATTAGCTACTGATGCAACTGATGCGACACATACAGAGTGTCTGTATGTGTCGCATCAGTTGCATCTTTCCTGCTGTAACTATATATAACTATAATCCCTGTCAAATACATAAATAAATACATGAATAAAGTACTGTAATTAGAAAATATATATGTGGGGTACATCTGATACCCCCGACTGTCAAATCTGTATTATAAACACTGTAAGCCAAAAACTAACTGTCAGGAAACATGAATGATGTCCTGATCTCACACACACCAGTATCAGAGTAACTCACCCCTGCAGCTCTTTGAGGGACATGGAGATCTTGAGGTTGTGGCCCAGTACGTGCAGAGCAGTCAGGATGTCGGCCCACTGGACCATCTCTCCCAGTGGACCTCCCTTCAACACCTTCGGACTGAACACGTCGCCGGACTCCTCTGTCAGGAAGCCCACATGTACCAGGATCTACAAGAGACAGCATTTTAATTAATACATTTTAATACAATGTACATTTACAAACACTTGCCTGTATTACCATAAATACATAAAACAATGCATCATAAAAATCAAACCATACATGTATTATTTTTGGATCAATATTGCACACCCATAATTTTGTCCTACAAATTGTCAAATACACTTAAAGAATAAACATTATGACTTTAAAATAAGTGCAAATAAGAGCATAGCAGCAGGAAAATGACTGTAAGGACAATCAAATTAGCATCATCTACATATACATATTGACGCGTTTCCTAAAGCTTTAAGCTCCTTGAATGTTAATCCTCTGCCATTCAAAAATGTTATAATGAGTTTCGGGATTAAAATAATCAGAAATTCATCCCTAGCAGAAAGAAGGGTAAAAGTAACTCTTTGAAATCCTTTCTGAAGGATCCTCTCAAGCTTCAATGGAAACGTGTTCATAGAAATCCTTCATTAAAGGCGAGTGTCAAATTCATTACACAGAGTTATAGGTTTACAGAGCCTTGTGCAGCGGTCAGTGCAGAAATAGCAGAGATTTGACCCAATTCCTCTACTCTACTGCTATTCTAACATACAATATAGAAACAAATATCATACATGTTTTAGTATTAGTCAGACCACACATGTTTTGGTAAGCTATAAATGTTTTTGAATGGGACAGTGAGTAATAACAGCTGCTGTGGTAATTACTGTAGAATTATTTCTTGAGTCCTACACTGTAGCCACAGCTGACCTGGCAAAGACCACCGTCCCCATCCAGGTACAATGTGGGTTTCCTGATGAGATGACTGCTTGCTCTTGATTCACAGCTGACCTGCTGTGGCCGCAACAAAGTGGTCTACCATCCAAGTACTAACCAGGCCCTGCGAAGCTCATCTGCAAAGTAGATGAGATCATGCTTTTGACGTGAGTAGGATTTAGATAACACAGTTTCTGGACCAGAAGCCGCTTCTTTTTTCTAGTTCTTTTAACCCTGCGGCTTGTATAGCGATGCGGCTAATATACATACTTTTATTGTGGTAGTGATTTCGGAGCACAGTTTAAGGACTGTGGCTATAGAACACTCATTTTTTGTCCCAATAGACTCATTAACATATCATTACATCATGTGACCAGTTAACGTTTGTCTAACTGCTTCATTACAACATGATATATTATATTATATTCAAGTGCAGCCTATATGTGGACAACATTGATTTTCTTTTCATGGCTTATATACAGGTGCAGTTATAGTCTAGAAAGTATGGCATATTGTGAAAGGAAAAACAGAAATCTCTTATAACCTCTCTGGTCACTTATGTCCGCTGAGCATCTCCATAATGAGTGCACCCACTGAGATTTAAGCTGTGGATTTTTACAGTGGCTTAGAGCTACCTAAGAGCACACTCTAAAGTAATCCTGATCAGCAAACACAGCATGCAGACTTTTGCTCCACGCAGAGCCAAGAACTTTCACCATGCACCACATACATAATGATCTCAACGCCAAGATACTTTGGATTTCTGTGGATCATTAATATTCTTAAGCACTTTTCTTGAATTTAAACTCAACCATGTGAATATATATAGAAGCCTCCATCTGTGTGCTGTACATATTTATTTGTGAAGTGAAAATACAGCGTGCAGCCAATATCAAAGCCACAGAGGATTTGGCCTTAATGGAAGTCACTGTATGCAATAATATACAATTACATTTGTTCATTCATTCAAATAAGCCATGTTGTTGTTGTGTCAAGAAGGGCAGTAAAAATCTGTGGCAATTTCTGAAGAAAGCTTTAAATATACTACTATCAGACATGTGCAGCAGCAGACAAGAAGAGACTAAATGTTTTCCAAGACATTCATTAACCTCTCAAATGTGTGTAAAACTTGCTCAACGGTGGAAACATTTTGCCAAGTAATAGTGTGATTTCAGCTGGTATGTAATATCCCCTGATCTCATAAGCCTGCTTTATTAACGTCTGCTTCATCGGAAAAAAGATAACTGAAATGCAATTACAGTTTGGGTGGCAGATGGCACAAGTGAAATTGGTGGCGCTAACATCATTCATTCTTCAGGCTTTGGCTTGGGTTCATCTTACGAACGTGAGGAAGGACAGAAGGAACTGTGCATTTTTGGCAGAGGCAGTGGCGTAGCAACACTGGAAAATAAATATGAGAAGGAACACATAGAATGGCAAATAACAGCTGAGTGCAGAAGTTTTGAAAGTGGTTTGGAAGTCATTATTGGTGCATGTTAATTCAGCACAAACTTGCAAAAGTTTTTCTATGTATAGTTTATATCTGCATTCATTTGATCAGTGCCAATTCATTGCGCTCTGCTCTAACGCCATCAGATACTTTGATTCATTGCCTTCTTCGACACGGTCTGTTGGGAGATAGGGGCAACAGTGGCTCAGTTGGTAGAGCCTTAGAGCCTGAAGATTGTGGGTTCGAGCCCACCATGAGACCTATGCGACCCCCACTGATGACTGCTGCTGTTGTGTCCCTGGGCAAGACACTTAACCCCACTTTTCCTGAAGCCCCTGACCCAGAAATGGATTAAGGGGAAGAAGATGGATGGATGGATGGATGTTGGGAGATATATGCGCTGAGAACACATGGTTTGGAAATGACTACTATTTCTATTGCAGCAAATTCTTGATGTTTATTGCTTAAAAATACTTTGAACTGTACCTACATAGACTGGAAAAAAAGCATTTGATACAATGTGGTTTAAAGTTTTATGGCAAAACCGTATCAAAATAGTGTTCACAATATGGTTTTGACAGTGATCTTGAGGGGGATCTGTTGGAGAATGGAGCTCAGCCAGTTGACGTTGGTGATCAGTCCATAGATGAGTACATGAAACTTAGATTATCATATGCAGATGACGCCAGAGACATATCTACAGTACAACTGAAGAGAGGCTAGAGAATTCTATGGACCATATCTGAGATTACTAGCAGTTCACATACAGTTCACATGCCACACAAGCCATGATTGATGCTTTGGCAGAATTCAGGAAATTATATTTATCAATGGACGTTGCATTGGATTTGTTTGATGAATTGGTTTTCACAAATCACGCTGTATTTATGTGTATATTTGAGATAGCAGATCTATTTAAAAAAACTCATATCCGGTAATCTCTAGACATAAATGTCTACATTCAGTAACAATGTACAGAGATGGCATGCTTTGTATTTTATATAGCTTTCAAAAACTATACCTTAGTAAAGTACTGCCTACTGTTTGATTTATTTAACAAACGGAGAACATGTATCTCCATGGTTACTACAGGTGAAAAAGATTCTTGAGGGAAAACACAGACGAATCAAGAACTCAGTAACATAAAGAAGTGAAATGAAGCAATATTTTGGAGTTTGAAAAATGCATGAGAAAAAAAACATACACTGGGAATTGTTTCAGAACTTCCGCTTTGACAGACATTCACCTTTTTATATTGGTAACCATATTGAGGATGGCTCGTTATTTTTTGAGAGCCTGAATAATTAGGTTGCCTTGTGTGGAAAAAGGTATGTTTTCAAACTTATTATTGTGTATAAAATATGATTGCATTGCTTTTCTAAATGTCTATGTGCTCCACAACATTATATTAAGGATCAAATTAACGCATTAAGTGGAGAAAGAACATCAATTCTATTACACAGGAAGTCTGTATTTTTAAATTGAGCTTTTCTTCATTTGAAATTTAGTTCTTGCATAGTTTATATTAACCAGATTCTGTCCAAGAATTTAGAAAACAACTATTCCAAACAAAGTAAATAGAGAGCTACATCAAATGAGCAGCCATGGTAAAAGGCAAAATCTATCTCCATTTGCTCGAGCTAATGTCTCCATGTGGGAGAGGATTGGAAGTAGTTTATTGTGGCCTATCTGAGAAAGAGCGGAAAAGTAACACGGTAGAAATCAATGGCTTAAACAAGGAGAAGACGGTGTGGGAGGCTCTCACCGCCAACACACTTCTGCCTATTTACAAGCGCGCATACTTGGAAACGAAGACTGAGGAGCACACAAAGAATACGCACAAATGGGACAAAGACTCTAGAAGTAGATCTGTACCTCCAGGTTTGATCGCACACACACGCAGCTGACGCCAAAGAGCTTTAACATGTTGACTTGACAGCGCTCACAGATGCAGAATGTATGAGTGTGGAGGTGTGCGCTGGGGAATTACAGATTGAGCTTGTTTGCATGCTATTGCTTCACACTGGCAACCTCCACTCTGTCTAAAAGCCACTCACTCGCCCCGAGGTTGGTGATTTTTGCAAAGATCTCCTGTGTTGCCATCCTTTGGGAGAGAAACGCGGATACACCTGCCAAAACCAGTGAGTCAAGCAACACAGGCATTCCAAAGAAGATACAACAGAGATTTTTAGCCAGCAAATATTTAACCATCTGTACTGATACATTGTAATGTTGTCGTTTACATTACCATCCCATTAGTTCAAGACATAATTATAGATATGAAAATGCAGACATTTCAATAATCTACATGTATCCTTGCACTTCATGGGATGGTTTATTCATGTAATCGTGAGCGTGTACTAATGTCTATAGTGAAAGAGGCTGCACACAACTCATCACTCTGTTAGTATCATCTCTGAACCTACAACCTGACCATGTGATCAATCAAATCCAAGTGTTTCTAGAAGAATTCAGTCAGTTTTTAAGAACTTAATTAATTAATTCTTGACACTGTTTTTAGGAGTACACTTTTTTTAGTTTGTCTATTTATTTACTTGTCATGTGCACACTGGGGACTTTTGCAAATGTATTCCAATGTGTTTTTACATTTTTAAATGGCAAAAAAATATTGATCTGAATCTGAATATTAGCTTCGGTTGAAAGCAATATGATGACTGCTGTACAACTATGTCTATATCCTCTGTATCTGTTTCGACTCACATAAATCTTGTGGAACAAATGGTAAACTACAAAACACAACTTGGATTATTCAATTGGTAAAGTGAAAGAAGA